CTATACGAGGATGGCTGGATAGAGAACTCAAGCCCTCCTTGGAGTGTGAGTGTGAAATGGCCTCACCGGATCCCATCAAACACTTACTCTACACCTGCTTCAATGTGCTGAGCACAGGGTCAGGCCCTTGAGGAAAATGATGTAAGGTGTGCTGCTCCCTGCCCTTTAGACACACAGAGTCTAATCAGAAACACACCGTATTCAATTCATCACCAAGGCCACGCCAGCACAGAGCTACTGCCACTGCCCTGCCACTGCCACTGGCTGTGGCCGAAGGGAGGGGGCCATTGACTTAGACCAGAGGGACTTCAAAGCCTCATCACAGGCCCACTGCAGTGACCCTGCACCATCCAGTCTGCACCCTCACTGGCTCCCAGGCAGGTCAACATCCTAGGGATGCAATGGCTCAGGTTCTTTACTGGAGCCTGCAGTGGTGTTACTATTCTGAGTCCCATCCCGGGACTCAGACGGCAGCCCAGCAAGGAAACCTAATGTGTGTAACAATTGTGGAACCATGCTATCACCTGGCACTCAGTCCTGTGGCTGCTGTCTACAGATGAGGGGCATATGTCTGGCTGGCTCCTCATGGAGCCCAGGGCCACCTGACTGAAATGGCTAACATCTTTTGTTCCCTTCAGGAGGGTTCCTCAGGGCTCATGGCTGCGACTTCATTCTTATAACATTTCTTTGATGCAGGAGAGATCATTTACCAGCAGGACTTGGAGTTTGGAGACCTGTTCTTCACTCTTAGCTCAGTTTGTAGCTGTGTGATCAAGGGCAAGGGAGTTTGCTTTTCTGAGCTCCCATTTCCTCCTCTTTAAAATGGGGATTAATAGAGCCTAACCTCAGAGGTGTCCTGAGAATGATGTGAGCTGGCACATGTGGGAACAGTCCGAGGACTTTAAGCACTGAGCAAATATTAGGGGCTGTTACCAGTAGTCTCAGATGGGGACTAGCAAGAGCCCTCCCAGGCTGGACCCCTCTACCTTTTCTACTTTTTTTTTTTAAAATCTCTCTTTTCTCCCTAACTCAAACCTTGTTCAGTGAGAAGAGCCTCCCCACTGTTATTCCTCCTTCATTTCTGATTATAAATGGATTTGTACCAGTAACTATTTCTTCAGCAACGGAGGACCTAGGGGGCAGGGCAAGGAGTGAAGGACAACAGGCAGGTAAGAGAGGAGGCTTCCCGGTGTAAAAGTTCTGCTCCCTTCTGGTCAAAGTTGCCCAAAGGGCACTAAAGTCTCACTCTTCAGTCCATTAACAGAGTTTCAGTGAGGTCCCATTAGGGTACTCAGTTTAGTCATTATCAGAATAATAAGAGCAACTCAGGTTTATTATTAAGTCCTTTTACCGCAGACACCAGCTTTCAAATGTAGCTCACTGAATCCTCACAACAACCCTATGAGATAGCTATGGTTATTAACCCATTTCACAGATAAGGAAACTGTCTGATTTCAAAGCCCACGTTCTTGACTCTCTTTGGCTTTAAACCTAGTTCCCGTCCTTGGGACTCTTCCAGTCTAAGAGATAGTATCTAAAAGCACACCATGAATCTAAAATCAAATGTCCTGATAAGAGGTCATTAGATAAAAGGACCCTGAGGAAGAGGCAAAAGGGAGAGGAGGCGTTGGGGCAGTGCGGCTGGGCTGATGATCAGCTAAAATGAGTGGAGATGGACTTGAGTTATCTTACAGAGGATTGGAAGAAGGAAGAGGGTGCAGGGAGAATGCAGTCTGCAAGCCAGGAAGCTAGTCCATGAAAGGAAACAGCTTGCACAGAGCTAGGACAGGAGCCATAGGAAGGCAGGTTTCACCACCACGAACAAGCCATGCATTTGTAGTAACTGTTCATCATGGGCAGGACACTGAGCCAGGACCCTGGAAGATACAACGATGTGTAAGACATGGCCATGGGCCTCAGGGAGCTCACAAGCTAGCTGAAGAGACCAGCTTTTACACCGCCCCCCCCCCTCCAAAAAAGTACTTACAAAAGCCCAAAGCAGAGTGAGATAGCAAGCATGTGCCATGACAGGACCAGCAAAGAGCTGTCCCTTGGGCCCTCCCCTTGCAGAAGGGCTCTCTGAAGTAGGTGTTGATAGGGAGCGAGGAGGAGCATTATCTAGGAAAGAGTGGATATAGTACATTTGGGGTAGTGAGGCCTGACTGAAGCAGGAGAATGTGCCTGGGAGTTAAAGTGAGCTGTGCCACGACTTATATGACACATGAAAGTCTGAACTTCACATGGCAGTTTCCCAAGTCTGAACTTCATGAGGGAGCTTCCCAAGAAGGGGGGGTACATGACAAAATTGGTGTCTTAGGAAGCGAGGCCTGGCAGCAGGGTGGAGGAAAGACAAGA